ATCACTCCACTTGCTTCCACCTCTCAGCCTGCTGGTGCACTCCAGCATTAATTGTAATATTAATTGTAATATTAAAGGCTTATTAAAAATACTGCAGTTTCACGACGTGTTCAGTTGCTCACAACTGGAATCTGAAGAGAGCCGAAGGGAAGGCCGTCTTGCTCGGTGCGAGTTCGCAGAGATGCCACTCTAGTAGGTCAAGATCAACTTAAATTCCATGTTATAGTTTTCTTCTTGAGGTAATGATCATTTGAGTTCCGCGGAGCCGGAATGCAAAGGGGATGCTCGGCAATTCCAGAAGAAGTAAACCAGAACAATGAGCCGACCTTCACGACTTGATGGTTGATCTCCAGCAGAATACAAGAGTTTTCAGATCTCTCTCTCTGTCTCTGTGTGTGTGCGCGTGCGTTTGCGTGTGCGTGCTTGTGCGTGTTCTCGAGGCTGCTCAAGAGGAGAAATCCCCACACATAGAGCCTCTTCGGCCTTGGGAGCCCGCCCGCAACAATCCGCCGAACCTTAAATTCCTTAGATCCCAAGCCAGAAGCCCTGGACCTTCAGCGCCCCAGTGCCCCGCATGGCAGGCTTTAGCCCAAAGCCCGGCGTATCCTGAGGCGGCTTCCTTGGGGGTCTACCACAGTTTGCTTTCCTGTCTTATTGGTTTTGAGTGCAAGCCTTAGACAATCCCAGATCGTCAAAACCCAAGTTGAAGCCCACGCAAGGCAGGGGCAGGCAGCCCTGAGTTCCGTACACGGTCCTGTTACAACCAGAAGAAGGATCAGCCCCAAAGGAGAGCATCCCAGGGAGCAGCAGGGGAATTGGGGCTCTGGATCTACTGATCTTGGGAATCAGGCCGGTTACCCTTGTTGGAGTCATTACGTCGTCCCGAGTTCATTGGGATGCAAAAACGCTCGCCACTTGGGACTTTGGACCAGCGGTGTAGGGAAAGTGGCGCATGGGCGAACAAGATTGGGACATGCCACTAAACGTTGTCTAGGGATTTTCAGAGGGCCAAAAAGAATTCAGGCCGAGGCTAATCCCTCATGAATACTTCCCTTCCGACCACCTAAAAACCCTAAACCCCCCCGAAGTCCTCTGCAACCTGAAACTGAAACATGACGTCCAGAACCCGAAGCGTCGAAACCAAAAAGGGCCCTGAACTCTTCCAAATACATACCTCCCTTCTTCAAAAGTTAGCCTGGTTGTAGCAACCCTTCTCATGCCGAAGAGCTGCCTGAACCCAAGAAAGACGCCCGAAAAGAAACGCCGAAGCGCAGGGTCGGGGCAACGCATCGGCCTCACAGCCGGCGGAGCAGGCTCGGGTTGTTTTGGGATGGGCGAGTCCCATGTTTTTTTTCTTTGGGGTCTGAGTACGATTTCGCTGCTTTCTGGGTTTTGCAATCTGTTCCAGGGTTCTTATGAAGCTGGGTCTGCATAAGCTTTTTGGTGAGAGCTTTTGTATCGGCCTCCGTCGGAATATGGGTGAGGTAAACTTGGGTGTCTCTATGGGAATGCCGGTGTCAGCACCCTGCTTCACCTCCCTTCGCGGAGGTAATGATTGCGGGGTTCAATGCATGGGGAACAACCTTCTGAACCCGGAAGTCTGCGAGCCTGGAAGCCCTGACCCCTCAGAGCCCACGAAAAAGGTAGGGTTTAGAAGAAAGCTCCTCGAAGCTGCGCGGCCGTAGATCGAAGAGCACTCACTCTGGGTGCAGGAGTATCGTGGGGTTCACGATTCAGGGGTTTACCGTGATCATCGCATTCATCAGCTTAGTCAACTTTGTCTTGATGAATTTGCGAGCCGCTTTGTTGGTGTCATGGCTATCATGATTGCTGTTTTTCCAGGCAGTTTAATGTAGGGGTTCTTGTTAAGTTGCACAAGGATGCATTTTGGTTCGTGTTGGGGGTGGGTGGCCAATGGCGGGGACTTCGACGCTTGTCTGCGCTTGTCTTCCTTTTTTTGGGACCGGTGGGGGTTGGGGATGTGAAAACTTGACTACAAAATTTGACAGATAGGAGAATATGAGACAGAGAGAGAGAGAGAGAGAGCAGAATCTCACCGCTGGCCCCGCAACAGTCGGGGGCGCGTGAAGCGCGCGGGCGAGGGGCA